CATGTTTACCGCGGTGGTAAGGATAGCATTGATGGTATCAATAACACCAAAGTAGGGGCCGGCCGTTGCCTGTTGTGAAAACTACACGAATTTGATTCTCGGTGTCCGAACCCCGCAGCGCTTCCCCCAGCGCCCTGCAGGGAAATCTCCGCTCTGGCCCGGACCCTCGGGTCCTGCAGCGCCGGATTCTTCCCTCTGGCTTCCCAGTGCTGGGCGCTGTGCCCAGTCCTTTCTAGAATTTTTAAATTCTGAGACAGGACTGGCTGAGTTGCAGGGTGGCCTCAGCTTTGTGACCCTCCCGCCTCAGCCCCCGGTCCCGAGACTGATTTCTCCGTGCCCCAGCAGGGGGATCTTTAGCTGTTTTGTTTGTGGCTCTGTCCAGGCACCGTGCCAAACGTGGTGGGTGCTCAGTAGTATGTATTGGGTGGGCGGATGATTGGGAGGACTGATGAACGGTGGACAGACAAACAGGTGGACGAATGGTGGACAGGTGGAGAGATGGACGGGGATGGTGGACAGACAAGTGGACAGATGAAGAACCGGGCTGGGCCAGGGCACAGCTCTTGGCAATCGGGCTGAAGGAGTTCGGAGGGATGTGTGGTGGCTTGGGGAGGTGCCGGGGTGCGCTGAGCTGGTGGCTGCCGGGGCTGTGAGCCCAGACACAGTGGGTGGAGGCTCTTTCTAATCCAGGCTGGGGATGAGCGCATGGGTCCAGGAGGGGCAGTGGGGTCCCGGAGAGACGGGTGTCGGGCAGTGTTTCTGTCTCGGGCCTTTCTTTTCCTCAGCCTGGCTGCTGCCCTTCAAGAGCCTCTGCTCGTTGTCCTCCCCTGGCCCCGGGTCTGCATGCCCGCTGGAAGGCGTCCAGGAGCCAGGTCGGTCACATCCTCCCCCAACAGCTGGCCGAGCTGCAGACAGCTTAGGTGCACGGCCTCTGCGGGCTTCCCGGGATCAGAGCCACCTGGCGGGCCTGGCCCTGTGTCCACTCTGGCTTCTGCTGCCTGTGGGGCCGGGGGTCCTGGTGCCACCCTCCCGTAGCCCTTGCACAGCGGCGATGAGACCCCCAGCTGCGGCCCCCAGCCTGGAGCACTGCAGCCGGAGCGCCCCTAATTGCCATCACAGATGTGGCAGCCACCGGTCTCCCCCCGCGCTCGGCTGTGTGCCGGGTGCTTAATTAGTCTCTGATTACCCATTGGCTGGGTGCTGTGTGTGTTCCACAGCTAATAACTTTCCAATTATGCCGGCCGCGCCGCGCGGAATAACCCTTTAGTGGGCCGTTTCTCGGCGGCCGCCCCCACACCCCAGGCCGTGTGGCCCAGGCGCTGGCTCTGCAGTCCCTGCCTGCCGCTCTGGGGCCATCGGGAACGACAGGCTGAGAATCCTGGGTCCCCCAGGTCTCAGGCGCCACCCCGAAGTCAGGGCGGGTCACGCAGTGTCTCTGTAGGCACCGAGGTGTAGGCCAAGGTCACCAGGAGTGGGCCCTGCATGTCCCCCTCCCTCCCTGTGGCTTCCTTCCTGCCCCGTCCCTGCCTCCAGCAGCGGGGGCCCGTCTCCTCTTCCTGACTTTGTTCCGGGCTCCCTCACTGCGTGTACATGCTGTGGGGTGCCCTGAGCCCCAGGCTGCCCCTGCTGTGTGCCAGGCGGGTTTGGGGACCAGGGGCCTAGCAGAGGTGGTGCAGTGATCTAGACTTCTTGCTCTGGTCTTGACCAGCTGAGTGACCTCAGGCAGCTGATGTGGCTTCTCTGCCTCAGTTTCCTCCCCTCCGGAGGGGGCAGAAGGTGGGCTTGTCAAGATGACCATGGGAGCTGCCGATGGCAGGGCCCGGTGAGCAGCTGGCCCTGCCTGACTGCAGGTGGCGTCACCAGGGAGCAGCAGCAGGGCCAGCTTCCTGGGGAGCACCGGCCTGCAGTGTGGGCCTGCAGTGTGGACCTGGAGCTCCTGCCCAGGGCAGCTCTGGGGACTCCAGTGTGGCAGGGGCCTAGGAGGAGCCTGCCCGGGCCAGGTGTGTGTGGGGGGGAGGTGGCACCTCGGCAGCCCCTCCACATGTGGCCAAGGCTCTGAAGCCCACCCGGCCTCTCCTGTCCCCTGTGCCCTCCTGAGCACCCGCTGCAGGGTACCTCTCCCTTGTCCCCTCCCCGTCTTGATGCAGAGGTGGCCCCGAATCACCCCCATGTTGCAGAGGGGAAACAGTCTGCTGACGTCCCCAGCTGAGGACAGTGATCAGGGGACGCTGGGAGATGGCGCCGGCCGGATACTAGGACCAGGAGGCAGCTCGGGGGAGGCAGCAGACCCTGCCCAACAGGCTCCCGGGGAAGCCACGGGTGTCGAGGCCACGGGGGTCTTCAAGGGGTTGTGTGTTTTGGTAAGATACGGGTCACCTGACTGGAAGGAAATGAGGCTGGGGCCGAAGGGCGCACAGGAGGCCACATGAGGCCGCCTCTCAGTGACACAGAAAGTCCCAACAGGCACATCCACGTGGGATCCAGGTGTAAGGGAGGCTTCCAGGCAGACGGGCCAGGGCCAGCACTCCTGTGGTGATCATGGGTGCAGGGGCTGGCTTGGCTCAAGCGGTGCTTGTGTTAGGAGCTGCTGTAAATCTGTAAAGCTGCTGGAGGAGAGGACCGGCTCTGTTCCTCTCTGCTGAGGGTCTTCGCGTCCACCACCCACGCGGTGCTTAGCCAGCACCTGACCCGTCTCGGCAGTGTGGCCTGGCACACACCCTGCCAGGGACTGTACTGCAGTGTCTGTGTTGGTGAGGTACCCGCTGGCAGCCTGCGACAGCCCACGCTGGAGAGCACACGGCTGCCGCTCTGCTCTGGGCCCCCCTGGGCCGCACAGCGGCTGCTTTTGAGCTCTTCTCCTCTGGTCCTTTCTTTGCATCGCCAGGTCTGGACCCCAGGGCCTTGCGGTGCTGGCAGCGTGCCCCCCTGCTGAGCTGCCCCCGCTGCTCCTGAGACAGGGTGTCACTAAGTTGCTTCCACTGGCCTCACGCTTGCGATCCTCCTGCCTCAGCCTCTCTAGTAGCTGGGATTACAGATGAGTGCCCAACGCCTGGCGGGACATTTTTCATTAGTTACTAATACTCCACAGTCAAGAGAGAGGGCAGCTTTTTAAAGCCGAGGGCTCAGCTGCTGATTCTTTTGTCGTTTTCGCGGTACTGGGGATCAAACCCAGGGCTCTGTGTGAGCTACACATGCCGCACCGCCGAGCTGCTCCCCAGTCCCGTGCCGCTTCTTGCAAAATCACACCTGGAAGATAGGTCTTCCCCTTCCCCCAGCATGCACCTCCCAGCTCTGGGCGCATGGGTCTCCCTGCAGGAGCAGCCTTCCAAAGGCTGCGGGAGGCACCTGCCGTGCCCCACAGTCTCAGCTCACGGCAGCGGACGGGCTGTTAAAATACACAGCGATCGTTTACATAAAGCACCTTGCAGTGAGGCTGCCACCGATGCTGCCCAGAGTCCTCCCCTCGTCCTCGCCGCCTCCTGCAGCAGTTCTGGACTTCCCCTTCGAGAGGTGCGATCAAAAATTCCAACACCTGTCTCGATCCAGCTTCTTCCCCGGATGTGCACCGGCCCTTCCCACGTCCACACGACCACGCAAGGTAGATGTCCTGAATTCATTCAACACACAGAGGCCGCCTCAGCAGCGCAGCCAGAGACACTCACGAAAGAGGACCCCGAGCGGCTGTCCCCACACGAACAGCCTGCCTCCCAGCCGCCATGCCCCCGCCAGGTGTCCCCTGGCTCCCTTCCCTGCAGGACGCCGGTCTCTGCTCCAGGAAGGGGAAGAGGAATAGGGGCCTGGGCTGTGTGGCGTGGCCCGTGTGCCCCCTCCAGCCGGCCCGAGGGCCCTGCTTGCCCCTTGGGTCCCGGGCGGCTGGACCAGCTGTCCTGTGCCCATCACAGACCCAGCGAGCAGGGGGCTGGTTCTCTTCAGCATCACTGGGCAGGATCCCCCAGGCGACCATGGAGAAGCCACGTCCCACGGGGCGGGCCCATCCGTGTGGCCTCCCTGGCCCACCTGGGCCCCGGGCCAATGAGCGCACTGGGAGCCCGTGAACGGCCAGCCGCCCCTCCTGGCTCCAGCGGAGCCGTCGGCTCGCCGGTGGGATTTGCGGGGATGTGGTCTGGACCGTGTCACCATATGGACCCCATAAATTAAAGCATTCCAGGAAACAGCGGTGAATTTATGCGTCTCTGCCTCGGGGCCGGCGGAGCCTGCGGTCGCCCCAGGAACTGGCGACTGGAGGTACTTGGGTTTATGGCACTAATCTCCGAAAAAAAGACTGGATCAACATAAAGCTGCCTTTTGACAGCTGCGCCGACCCTGTCACTCACTGTAACCGCCAAGAGAATGGTGGCCACCCCCAGGCCTGCCCGGGGCAGGAATGAGGCGTCCAGCTCTATGACCCGGCGGGGGCTCAGCTTCCCGACCCCCACAGCAGGGCCTCTGCAGCCAGGCCTGGGCCGACCCACCCCGCACCTCAGCCCTCGCTGCTGCCACCTCCGAGCCTCCATCTCCCCATGGCATCGGGTGCCACTGTCGCGGGCACAGGAGGGTAGCGACCCGGGCCAGGGTGCAGTGTGCTTGTGGGGACAGAGCTTCCGCCCGGGTGACGGGGCTCTGGACATGGCAGCAGGGTCAGTGCCGCGTGCCTGAGCCTCGGCAGTGCTCAGCCTGGGGTCGCGCATCAGGCAGGCCTGACCCCGTGTTTACCAAGTGCAGCAGGTGGGCACGGGCAGGTGACCCCTGCAGCGTGGACTGTACTGTACCCTACAGTGAGCGTGGGTGTCAGCATCCCTGTGGGCCCCATGTGGGCCGCTGCCCTGCGGGGGCCTGTGCAGCTTTTCACAAGTCTGTTGTGGGTCCCCTGGGGAATGTGAGCTCCCCTTGACCCCCTCAGGGCATCTGTGCCCCACGGATGGCGCCCTGGGGAGGGAGTCCCTTCCATGCGGCCTCCCGCCAGGCGTGGCCCAGCTCACATGTCCATCCTGTCCTTGCAGGTCACCTCCGCCTCTCTGGAGGTATCGGCCGCAGTGCCCCCTCCCGCCCAGGAGCCCGAGCTGCGGCCAGGGCCCACCGCCGCTGACAGCCTGCCCAGGGGCCCCAGGACGGCACCGGAGCCGCAGCCCACGCAGAGCCAGCCGGGCCATGACGGGGACAGAGCAGGCCTCCCGGGCACAGGTACGTGCAGCCTTGCGGGACCTGGCTGCGGGGCCAGGGTGGAGCCACCGCGTGCGGCGGGGTCTCCCGGGCGTGATCTCGCGGTCTCGTGGCTGAGCCTCCCGCACTTGAGTTGGGCTTTGTTCCTGTTTTCGTGGGCTGCTGGGCTGTGGTTTGCTCAGGATCCTGGTCCTCGGCGCCCTTGGGTGCCTCGGTTCCTGTGTGGCTTGACTGCCTGTTCGCCGTCCCCGTGCCCCTTCTCTCCACCTGTCCACACTTCTAAATGCTGTCGCAGGCAGCTGGGCCCAGGGGCGTCTCGGGGCTTGGCATGGGGGTGTGCTGTGTCTCTTCGCCGGGCCGCAGGAAGCAGGCCGCTCTGTGGGCACTGACCACAGTCCCGCCTGCCACCCGCGCACTCTGCTGCTGCCCCTGTGTGAGGCTGTGCTTCCCAGTGACCCCTCTGTGCCGCTGTCCCTAGTCCCTTGCCGGCGTGGACTTCTGAGTCTTCCCCGTGCTGTGTGACCATGCTGGGGCCGTGGGGGTCTCGATCACCCATGGCTGGGCTTTGGCTTGCAGGGGACACTGTGCTCTTTGAGAGGCTGAGCCTAGGTGTCCCCAGGTCAGTTCACACGGTGGAGGTGACGCTTGTTTCCGGTAAAGACTCTGCTAAGACCTCTGCAGATGGCCTGTCACTCCTGAGTCCCTGGTGGTCATGGATGGCTGTGACCCGCCTCCTGGGACTACAGTGTGGGGGGACCCGAGTATTGGGGAGCTGTGGCCCGGTGGGGGCGTGCTGCGTTCCCTCCCACAGACAGGCCAGGGTGGGGTCAGCGGGGCTCTCGGCCCACGCCTGCCCAGTGTGGGGACGGCTTCTCAGCAGCCCCCAGGAATGCATCCTGCGTCAGGACCCCCAAGAGCTCGGGAACTGACAGTGACAAATGGCTCATTATACACCTGCCTCCTGCAGCCGCAGGGGTGGCGCAGCCTCTGGGCCAGCTGTGCTCTGCCAGCTGTGCAGTAGAGAGGGCATGGGCGAGCAGGCGCAGGTGTCAGATGCACTGGCAGAGACAGCTGCTGACCGCCACACATGTGGGCACGTGCAGGTGCACACATGCACACACTTAGAGACCTGCCCGGACCCCACCTGCATCGTACACGCCTGGCTGCATGGCTGGGGACAGACAATTGTGACATTCACACACACACACACACACACACACACACCTGTGCACTCACACTGCGGCAGGCAGGCTTTGGAGGAGGGCAGTGGCCCTGAGGGCCCAGTGGGGCCACAGCTGTCACCTCTGACCCCGGTCCCCACCGGTGTTGAGTGCAGGACAGGGGCAGGTGAGGGGCGCCGGCCCTGGAGGACGCGGTACAGTGTGTGTGTGGCGGCTGCGCGGCTCTGGCAGCTGACTTTTCTCCGCCGAGACTCTGGGTGCCCCACGCTCACCGCAGCCCTGCTGTGTCCACTGCTCAGCACTCTCCTGCACTCAACAAGCGGGCAGAGTGACCAGTGCCCTGCAGCGGGAGCACCCTCGGGCTGTACTGCACCTGACCGGACCCCAGGGCCATCTCCTGCCCGCCCTGTGAAGGCTGCATGACCCCTGGGGCTGTAATCTTCTGGCAGGTGAGACAGGACCCTTGGACTGAGGGGAGGTCACCAGCGGAGGGGTGATGGGCTCGGCCGCTCCTGCCACAGAGCAGGTGTGGTACAAGCAGGGTCCTCGGGCTGCAGCAGTGTCAGCGAGGTGACAGGCACCCAGACGGCCCTGACAGCAGCCAGGCACAGTTGCGTGGGTTGCACACTAAACAACCGCAGTGCCATCCTGGTTGTGTTCACAGCTGTGTGCTCTGTGGCCAGGGGGGAGGCACTACCCAGTGGGAGCCGTGCCGTGTGGGCCTGGAGGCCCTTTGGAGCCGGAAGCTGCTTCTCAGGTGGGCGTGAGGTCATCCTTAGGGTCATCCTTAGGCCAGCTGAGGCGCGCAGGGTCGGGGCAGAAGCTGGCCGAGGCTGGCTGTCTGGCCACATCCAGGGAGCTCGGCCACGGCTCCACGAGCCCAGGCCACGAGGTCAGGGTCCACTTCCTGCCCCACCCCTCAGCGGGCTGAGGGCCCACTGTGGCTTGCACCCCATGCAGCCTTCCATTCTGTCTTCCAGCTGTGGGGCGGCCCCTGTGCCACCTGCGGGCGGTGTCCGTCACAGTCGCCCTGCCCATAAGCCCCTCCTGCTCCGCCTGCCCGGGTTGCCTCACCCTGACCTCCTGTCGATCCCGAGATGCTGCCTGCTGGGGACAGCGCTGTCCCCAGCCTCAGCCCTCTGAGTGTGCGGACACCGCCTGCCCCCACACCCACCCGCCTGTGGCTTCGTGCGTTCGTTGAGCTGTGCTCGTCCTGGGACCGCCTCGTGTCTCGGCTTTGCCTCTGTGGGCAGGATGATGGGGCTTGTGGTGTGGAGTCTGGAGCTGGTTTTGGATCAGCGCTTGGGGTGTGAGGCGGGGAGTTGCCCTGGCCGGGCTCTGCCTCTGGGGGCCTCCCGCCCCGGCTTCCGTGTCCCACACCGAGGCCAGGTGGGGACTCGCCGGGCCAGGACGTCCTTGTTTGGTACCTGGTGCTCTGCAGCAGCTGCTCTGAGGCTCTGCAGTGCGGCGTCCCCGCCCTGGGCCTCCCCGCCTGCAGCTCGCCCCACCTGGCCTGTCACTGCCTCTGTCCCCTGGCTCGTGTGGCCGGCCGAGGCAGAGTCCACGTCTGTTCAGCTCCGCACTGGCAGCTGTTTGTCTCCCGCTCAGAGCCCTGCGCCTGGAGGCTGCCAGTGTAGACAGTCATGAAATTAAACAGAAGTGCTGACCGCGGGCAGCGCTGACTTCAGCGTGGCTCTGAGGGCAGGGGCCGCCTGCCACCTGAGCAGGTCGGTGACAGAGTCCACCCTTCTGCTGTGTGGAAAAGGCCAGCTTAGCAGAGCCTGCAGTTCAGACCACAGCAGGCAGCCTGGTGGTCACCACTGGGTGCCACTGTGGGTTTCGCTGGCCCGAGGAGCAGTTTGTCAGCCCCTCGCCAGGCCCACAGGTGCTCACCGCGGCCGGCTGGGGGCACCCCCCACGCCAGCACCAGTGTCTGTCCAGCTCTCTGCCCCGTGGTCAGTGTCGTCACCCATGTGCACATCTGTCTCTGCCACTCTGCTGCCAGCTGTGTGTAGTGTTCACAGACACTCACCAAGCTCCTGCTGTATACCAGACTTGCTGGGCACCAGGGCACAGGATGACGCCAGCTGTCCTGGGCACATGGCCTGCAAGGGTGCAGCCGGGTGTGCTCCAGGCTGGTGGTCTGGGAGCAGCGTCAGGCAGGTCCCAGGCTGAAGGAGGGGCAAGTACAAAGGCCCAGGGCCACCCACGCCTAGCATGCAGAGGCCTCCAGGAAGCAGAGACATGGCTTAAGGGCTTCTTTATCTCCCCAATACTTGCCATATTGCACATAGTAGTTGCTCAACCAATGTTTGTTGAGTGAATTCAGCTTTTAAGTCCTTTAGTGCTGAGTCCTGGCCCAGAAAGGCAGAGGTCAAGAAGAAGCACAGTCTGGACGTGCAGGCTGTCTCTCCGCAGTGTCCTGGGTGAGAGTGGCCTTCTGGCCAGGCCTTCCTTGCTCCATGTGGAGGCTTCTTTCTCTTTGGCCAGGCCGGGCATCCTGGGGCCACCTTGAGCACTGGGGTCAGGGAGCATTTGGGTGCCCCATCAGCTTCACAGTCCCTAAGATACCACTGGGGAATTGTGGCCCAGAGTCCCCCTGATCCCTAGGGTTCCTGGGTGGTCAGGGTGGGGTCAAGGACACTCAAAGGTCACCCTAGATTTGGAGGGCTCCAGGAGCAGCTGTGAGTCCTGAGAGTCCAGCGAGGGCATTCGTGGAGCCCCCACATTGTGTGCCCTCGAGGGTGTTCTCGGCCAGCCCTGCTTCCTGTGGCTGCTGTCACACGGCCCTGGCACACAGTGGCCCCAAGCAGAGTCTCGTAAGATTCCAGGGCTCAGGGCGTGCTAGGGTCTCCCCGGGCTGACGTGGGAGGCTCCTGGCAGGGCTGCGCCCTCTGTCCTCCCTGCATGGCCCACGTGTCCTGCTGCCCCTGCTGCAGCCTTCGAGGTCCTGGTGCCAGTCCAGGATGCCCCCCCAGCTCGGCTGCCACCTTCCCCAGCCCGAAGCCCTCCAGGGTTGCACCCTCCTGGTCTCTGTTGGGATTCACTGAGTGCAGAGCAGGCGGGCAGGTTGTTCCTGTGAGTCACGGCCTCAGGGGTCAGCCACCAACACCCCGTGGGGGCCGTGTGTTAACTTGCCACGCTGGTCACGCTGGCCGGGCTGGGCTTGTGTGGCACCACCAGGGGACGTGGTGTCCCTTGCATAGGACCAAGGCTTGGAGGCTGGGAGGGCTGCTGGGATGGTCATTTATGAAGCACCGACGCAGTGCCAGGTATCCTGGCAGGTGCTTTGCTGGGACCACCCCGCCTCCACCGTGCCCCGGGGTCAGTTTGCATCCCGGGTGCCCCACCCTGCCCACAGCTGCGGGCCTGAGGCCCTGCTGGGTGCAATGCGACCTTTGTCCAGGCGGTGGCGCTGTGTGGACCAAAGAGGTCCACAGTCAATGCTCAGGGTCCTGGCCAGCCTGGGCAGGCTCACGGCAGAGACCCCATGGGGTCTGCCCAACCCAGGGGCAGGGAGCCGGCCGGAGCCACCCTCGTGTGCACGGGGTCCTTCAGGGCAGCCCGTCTGTCCCCAGGTGGGCCGAGGTGGAGCAGGACAGCAGAGAGGGCCTGGAGGGCTGCAGGGGTGGGTGGTACTCAGACCAGGTCCTGGCCCTGAGCTGGGCAGAAGGAAGCGGGCCCAGCTCAGCCCTCACCCCCAGTCGGCTGGCATTCTCTCCTGCTTCCTCTCCCGGGGACACTGTCGGCTTCCGGCCCAGAGCCCTTGCCCCCCCTGTATTCCCTCAGAGCCAGGACCCCCACCGAGGCCTGACCCTGCTGTACATGTGTGCACACACG